GAAAGGAGTCAGTGTGGAGACGGAGCCGTTCTGTGAGCAGATGATAATCCACCTTTGACCCGGTGTGAGGGGCTCGCAGCCACATGCAGCCGTTACGGTCCTCCCTGCCACTCACAACCCCACGTTGTCTCTCTGTGTGTGTGTGTCTATGTGCTCACACCATCCCCCGCTCGTCCACACAACCCCCAGCGCCACCACCTCGTCCTGGGCCTGTCAGGACGGAGTGTGACTGCCGACACCTCGGCCTGTGGAGCTCCAGCAGCTTCTAATGGTCACAGACCTCCAGGAGACCAGAGCCCAGGTGCTAATGAGTCTCACCCTGGGGTCGATGGCATCACGTATGTGAATCGATCGCAGAACGAGTCAGAGGAAGAAATCCAGTTTTCTCTTCATCATGCCTCTGGAACGTAGATCACATTTCCTCCACACGATTTTTACGCAGCGATGAATCTCCACGCTCGAGATTCATTTCATCTTCATCGATTTCCTAAAACTTAAAAACAATAATTATGTCGTGACGTAAACACGGAGTTTAAGATATTTTTCCACGTCAGTTTTCCTAAACAAAGTATTTTCCCCGTCATTGAAGTAACAAAGAACTTACAGAGTAAAGTAATATGATTATATTTATTGTCTGTTTTAAAAGTACACCCTGCTATGACCCCCGCTGTGCGTCGACATAGCAACGCTTCACATTAGCTCTTTTCTTAAGCAGCTTTGTCGGGTCTGATGAGTCGGTCACTGAAAATTATCACCTGATTGGATTAACAGAGATCAGATGTCAGCACCTTTTTGACCTTTGTTTCCAAAACACTGCAGCCACTGTCTCTGTTTCTCCCTTCAGCTCCTCTGCAGATCAAGATTGAGTCCTTTGTCTGTTGATCTGTTTTTTTCTTTGTCTGTTGATCTGTTTTTGTCTTTGTCTTACTGTTCCCTGGAAACTAAAGGTTTCCCCCGTCTGTAGAAAAGCCGATGAAAATACTCCGTTGTTGTTTGTATGAGATCATTTTCTTTAAAATGTTAAGTTTGTCGAATTGACTGTTTTTGCGGCCGTGTGCTTCATGCTTGAAATATTCCCATAGAACTGTTGGTAAGTGGCTGCAGTAAGATTGTCCTGTAAATATTTAATCAGAGTTAAACATAGACGGCTACGAATGATTGTCATCATTGTTTTTTTAAACAAGCTAACACTTTGGTGAACCACCCAACCACACAGGAAGTCGAACTCCTCTTGAAACGTCAACGACTGTTTTTAGCAGATTTACTCACATTCAACAAACCTGCGTAATCCCACTAGCATTGAAGTAAAATATATTTACGTGACCATTAATATGCATCAGTCAGTATCAATAGAACAAAATGCTAACATGTTGAAGAGACGAGACGTGATGCCGTCGAACATCTGAGGCGACTTCATAACTAAAACCAACCGAGCATGAGAAAGATCCGTCTCGTGAAATCAGTTTAGTTTAACAAACCTGTCCACGGATTCAAATATTCACTGACTGAGCAGGACATCGTCTTTCAGCGACATCGGAGGACGCCCCCGTGTCCTCCTGGTTTCACGCCAGGTCTGAAGGAGGAGCAGAGAAGAGGTGACGGGTCAGGAGGTCACTGCTCATTCTGGGGATTAAAGGAGATGCTTATCTGTGGGGGGGGGGGGGATCTGAGCCCCCGAGCTCCGCTGAAGCTCCTGAACCGTGTTCTAACAGCAACATGTGCCGCGTCTTCACTCGGATACTACAGTGACGTGTAGTACACTGTGTACACAGGATACTAGCTGCTGTAATATGTGTGAATTAACTGCACATGGGGGTTTGCTTGATTAGTCAACGGAACGATTTAAACAATAAGTCGACAAGATGAAACCATTTCAATCCACTAGATGCAGATTTTGATTTTGAATCATGTCTTTTTGAGAAAATCCAACAAAATGTTGAAAAATCTCACAATGTAAAGGAAAAAAATCACAAAATCTCTCTGCTGTGTTTTCACGTGTTTCTGTTTCTAAGTTTGGTTTTAATTAGTTAATTAAAGCAGTAAACATGTGAGGGTCTGGACGTGTGAAGGTTCTACGCTCCGCTTTTCCACAGTGCCACTTTCTGTTCGGCGTCTGTTGGATTTTAAGCATATTAAACCCATTACCATCCCGTCACTTGTTAAAGCCCCAGGGTTCCGCTCACTCGGCCTCACGAGCTAAAAATGGCACAAAAATTGTCCTTGCTGTGATTTGGACAAAGACCCCACTCCGGCCTCCTGTGTTTGTTCCCTTCTGTTCCCGTTTCACATTAGTTTTCGTGCAGAAACATGGGAATAACTGTTGGAACGGCTTATGGAGGCATCGTCTCCCTGTTGCACTCTGTGTTCGTACGAGAGGGAAAAAACATGAGTTAATTGCATATTTTACAGAGCGTCTCAAGTGGAGGCGGCTTAATGAGGTCAGGCAGCTCGCCTCGTTGAGAATCGCAACTGCTCCTAATTGTGATCTCAAATATGCTCATAATCCCCTGATTTGACAGCAGCGCAGGTTTCAGGGGAGGCATTAAGGTGGAAGACAGAGAACGAGGGACAATTAGCAGGGATGAAAAACATGTCAAGCACAGCGGCTTAAGACTTTTCACTTACACTCAAAGTAAAAACCAGTTTTTAATGACTTTGTTGTTCTTTCTCCACGTTTATTTTACAAAGGGGGAAAGAATAACAGAAGAAGAACATCTGAAGTTCTGGAGGTCGCGTCTAAATGTTTCGTGTCCTCGGTGCGGCTGGTTCCACCTCGGAATCGCTGCGCCCACATTACGCACAGCTGTTGTGTCAATAGCCGTGTTGTCACTGTCAGCAGCACGTCCACATGCCAGCGAAGCCACGGACACATCATGAAATATTATCATTTCCAGAGCAGCGTGTAAAGAATCTGATGACCAGTGTGAACAGGTTTGGAAACAGCCTCGAGGCTCAGACGCTCTAAAAGTCCAACACAACAGGACGTCAACAACGCTGCGGCCGTCAGGTCTCCTCTGCTGAATCCAGCTGCAGGGCCCTGGTGCTGCTCCCTCAGTCCTGTGGGCTGGATCGAGTTTCCACAGTAACACACACACACACACACACACACACACACAACTTGACCTCTCTGTCTCCACCAGCGATGTCTCACCCTGTGTCCCAGCCCGAGGACATGTTGACATCTCATCTCTTGTCATGAGGGTGTGCAGACATGAATACGTGTGCATCAGCAGAGAGGTTACAGTTCTGCGGTTCAGTAACAAACTGTGTTTCGGGGCCAGTGTCTCCACTTTAAGGCTTCAGTGGAGCTTTGACCTCTGTGTTCACATGGCCGCAAAATGCGAGATGACTCCAGGCGACCGGACAGTTTCAATATGTGTCCGCTGCACTCGATACAAATCAGCCCGGAGGCTCAGGACACTGTGCTCATGCGGAAAATATATGTTTTCATCTAATAACCAACCGTGTGTCCTCTGTGTCCCTCAGAATGAAGAACAAGCTGTGGTACTTCGAGTTCGGCACGACCGAGACCATTTCTGCCACCTGCAAGAAACTGAACGAGTGCATCGAAGTCGAGGTGAGTCACAAACTGGTGTTCACGCAGAACGAGTTGTTGCGTAGCTTTAAATCACAAACTTCGCCTGTACACTCAATGTTTGCTTTTCTGTCTTTTTGCCTCTGACAGGTTTTTAAGTGTTGTTATTTTCAGTAGTTTTTCTAAAAGACGTCGCAGAATTTATACCAAAGTAGTTTTGCCACTTTACCGAAGCGTTTCTATTCATAGCACGTCATCAGGTTAATGCTCCTTAAAGTCACTTAGTGCCTCATTCTGTCAGGTATCGCTGTGTAATCTGTCACCCGGCTGCTTAAAGCTCAGCAGGACGTCACAAACAGAAACCACACGCAAACAAGCTGCGTCCCTTCATTCTCCTTTCATTTATAAATCCCAGTTAGATCAACGTTAGAAAGTTATTTATGTTTATAGAGAAATAATCATGATGTCTTTATTTATTTGAGACGGATTTCATCGACTACGTTTTTTAAAGGTTGAGGCCGGTGCTGCTCTTGTGTTTGACACTCGGCTCCAAAAACAGCCCCTTGTCTTCTACAGGAGGTTTAATGATTTACAGCAGCAGGACGATGAACTGGTTTCAGGTAAAGTAAGTGACGAACTAAATTTAATGTATAAAGCACCTTTCAGGCATTAAGATAAAAACAGGAAATAAAGACAAACAATAGAAGAATAAAAACTAAACTAGTGTAAAGCTGTCCGCTCCTCTCTGTCCTGGTGATCTTCAGTTTGAAGAAGTGATATTTATATAAATATTGAACATGTGCTTTAAAGACAATAGCGTCGTCCTGAGTCTCCACTCATTTGTGTATGTGGTTGTTTCTGTGCATCACACTCCACATGTGTGACACGTTGTTTCACACTTTACTCTTCTTGCTTCCTCTTTGCGGGCGATGGGTAAAGTCCAGTGTTTTGTGTTTTGTGTTTGCTGTGTGACTCAGCTCTGTGTGAGTCACAGTAATGTGTTGTTGAAGTTCTCTGGTGTGTTTAAATGATTTGTTGAATCCAGATGAGGAGAAACACAATGTAACTCAGAGCCGAGCCAGGAGCGACAGATGGCGTTCCTTTATATCTGTTCATTTTTATACACCATGTGCAGATATCTGAGACTTACTGGGTTTTTATGGCCGTTAATAAAGACGGAGCTGCACTCTTGGCTCCTGTACAAGTAATGCATCAGGACAAAGTAAATCTCGAACTCATAAACAAATCAGTGGTGCACAAAGTGGCTCCAACTGTGATACAACACACACACTGCAGCTTGATCCGGCAAACTGTGTCATCTCACATCAACATCAACATATAAATCATGACTTAATTACCCTTAATCCGTCCGCTCCGGCAGTTGTTATCAAAACGGTGATAAATCCTCACTCTTCGTGTCCTCTCCCAACTTCTGCTCAGTGTGACGGGATCATCTTGGACCTCAGCAACACCTCCTTAGAGGGCATCGCCGTGCTCAACATTCCCAGCATGCACGGTGGCTCCCACCTGTGGGGCGAGACGAAGAAGAGGAGGCACTACAACCGCATGAGCAAGAAGCTTCCTGAGAGGATGCCGTCCAGCACGGTCACAGACGCCAAGGAGCTCAAGTTCTGCATGCAAGGTGAGTCGGGTTCAGTTTCCACGAGCGAGCCAGGCCAGTAGGTGGCGATAAAGTTTACATCTACGATTCGTCAGATACCAGAGAAGAACTGCCTCACTTCCATCACGCAAAGCAACAACGGACAAAGTGAACTGTGACGTCATCGATTCCCAAACGCTCTGTTTTACACGTTCGCGCAGAAACTAAAGAGTTTCTGGAAATCAGAGTTGGAAGCTGTAAAAAGGACGAATCCCACTTGTGACGCTGTTTTATATTTAAACACACTCATCAAATTCCAGATGTGAAGTCAGGACACACATGTTGTCGTCGTGTAGCGTCGCAGCTCCGCTCCTGTCGCTCCAGCTGCTCGATAATAAAAATCCGTCCACAACCGGAATGTCTGATATTAGCAACAGGGACATTTCAGCAGCGTGTGACGCCAGCAGGTAAACGTGCATGTTCACTGTTTATCTGCTGCTGCTGTTCGTGTAAAGGTCAGTTCTCCTCTCCTGTTGTATAATTTCTTCTCTGTGGCTCTGGAGCGTCTGAAATAAATAACTACACAGAAGATATATCACAAAATGCAGAGTTATTTTAGAATTAACCAACTTTATATCTGAGCTGTATCAAAAGCTGCTATATCGATTCAGTTTAATGAATCCTTCAAAGAAATAAGGTCCAAGTAAAGACGATATTTGTATTTAGTTTTATTTCACTGTTGAGCACTTTTTCTCTTTTGTATTTTCAAGGTGAAACGCGTCTTTGGTTAAAATCCTGTCAGCTAGTGGACGAGGACTTTTGTCAAATGTCAGTTCTCTTTCAGGATTTCATCTAAATTAAGTTAGAGACTTTTGTTTGCGGATGAAGTCTAAATGTATAAAACTGTGTCCAGATCCATTTGATCAAACTGACGTTAAAAAGTTGAAGTAATTCTCATCGATGCTCTTTAATCGACTCTTTAGTTTTACCTGTTTGATGAATCTGGTAAAATAACCGTCTCTCTACTCTCACCGAGGTTTTTTTTTTTCAATTCAACCCGACCTCTGTGTCTTTTTTCTTCGTGTGTTGTTGCGCTGATTGAACAAAACCTTGTTTCCATGGAGATCTCAGGGTTAGAGGCTGGAGAAAAGACAGACGCAGGAGGAGACGGACGCAGGGAGAGAAATTATTCTGCAGGAAGAAACAATGAGTCGAATCAGTCACTGTGGGTTCTTACGAAGGGGCTGCATCTCCGAGACTGAAGCTTCGTTGCATTTGATCATTGACCTGTCGTGTGAGGCGGCAGCGGTCAGCCGTTTGTCCCGTTCCCTCAGATTCGACTTACAGGAGCACAGGATTCAGATTGTGGGGTTTGAGGAAAAGATCAGAAATAAGTTTCAGTGTCCTTCTTCCTCTCCTTCAGACACGTTCCCGCTGAAACTCCTCTAATCTAAACCCACACACGTGAATACCAACTGTTGAATGTGAATCTGAAAATCACTTGGTTCGTAGTAAAGTCAACCAAAGCTCGAAAAACAGTCACAACTATTTTAGTCGCAGACGTCAGCGACGTTGGGAGGATGTCAACATCCTGTAATGATGATGTCACGCAAACTTCTTTCCTATTTTTTTCAAATATTTAAATACGAATGCGTTTTGTTTCACTAATGTTCCCCTTCATACCGTCTATGGGGCCGGTGTCTCTCCCCCAGCTCCGCAGAGTGTTGTGTAGTTGTGTTTGTTTCAAATGATTGTGCACGTCCAAAGAATGAAACCAGATTTCTGGATGTTCAAACAAAATGTCCTGCATCAGATTCGGTCTAAACAACGGTGAACGAATCGATTCAGATCCTTTTGCAAACGTTAAAATATTTTTGTGACACTACATCCACATGTGACACATGTTTGAACGTGTGTGTGATGGAATCTCTCTCCAAACATTTGTTCCCTCTGGATTCGACCCTTATTGAATTAGCTTCTCCTGCTAATGCTATTTGGAAACAGGACTGGAGACGTTGCTCCAGTTTCAGGGAGACACTGTGCTAGGTATGTAGTTCTGTGTGTGTGTGTGTGTGTGTGCGTGCCTGCATGTTTATCACACAGCTAATTGTTTGTGGCAGTTTCGTTCTCTGGCACAATGAACTAAAGCTTTTAAATCCATTTGATGCAGATAATGCAATCAGCCAGGTTTACCCAGAGAGAGTGAAGGAAGCCCGGGGCGCTGGTGACCTCAGCGCCGAAGCTTCAGTCCTGTGACTCACTGTGTCTCTGCTCTGGTTTGTGTCCTGCACGGAAACAAACGACAGCTGACACACAGAGACAGTCCAGTTTAACTCAAGACTCTAATACGATCACTCGTGTCACTGCAATTTACTGATACCTGGTTTAAACAACTGGAGGAAAGAAAGTCCCGTCAATCTGCTGCGGACACAAAAGGGAAGTTTTACTTTCAAGTGAAACGTCAGAGCGCTGCAGTCTGTGTGCAGAGGACGCCACGCCTTGTTAAGCTATGAGACCATCTGTGAAAACGGGCCGTAGAAATAAAAATGTCATGAGTCAACTCACGAAACTCAGATTAATAATAAAGTTAAAATGCTTCACAAGGAGGAAAAATGAAAACAAGGGAACTTAAATACAAAGACAACAAACAAAATACTTCATCAAATTCAGTATGAGGCGGTTCGCTGTGTAATGAATTGCGTCTGAAGTTCCTTGAAAAGCACTTTACAGATGAAACAATAGTTTTAATACAATAGCATTTAAGATCAGAGACAAGAAAGAAATGTGAAATCAAAAATAAAATATTAAAAAGTAAAAACTCATCTCGTAAAAACCAGTAATCTGAAGCATTGAGCTGATTTACCATTAGTGAGAAACTCTTTTTGTCCCTGCTGTTTCTGACGTCATGGTGTAAATTGCATTCGCTAAAAACAAAATCTTGTAGTGGATAATTAGGCTGAGGGTTTCCAGTTGTGCTGTGATGAGCAGGAACACGCCGCCAGCGAGTCCGCCGCTGTCGGTGGAGTCAGAGGTGCAGAGGAAACCACGGCGAGGGAAAGAGGGCGCTGACAGGATTGATGTACGAAGGCCCTGGTGTCACCCTGCTCCTCCTCAACTTCTATCTGTGAGCCATCGCACCTGAAACTCGGTGGGAGGATGTGATATGAGTCAGGGAAGACGCCATTGAACCCTCACCCAATAAAAGTCTGGATCTAAATGAATTTACATGAGGTTCCTTAAGTACAAGTAAACCTGTTTAAATTCAGTATCTGTAAGTTCAGTCCTCCATTTGAAAAAGTAAAGAAGTTATCGTACGAGTTACTGGCGAAGATTTCAGTCGTGCACGTAACTCGTGCACCCGGCTGCTCCACCCCTACTTCGCTCGTTTCTGCTCCTGATGGTAAATTAGTATTAAGAGTTTTATTGAGTTGAAGTTGTGCAACACTGGCGGAACATGTTCTGTCTCCACCCTCCTGATTCACTTGTCTCCCCTCTTTTCCCACACTGTCCACCCCAGGCTCTCCCCCCTACCTCCCCTCACCTCACCCTGGCTCCACAGCCCCCCCCCACCCTCCCCAACAACAAGCTGTGACACACCAAGACGGAGGCTATTTCTGGACGCATCACGCTACGAGTCTGCATATTGTTTTCTTCACACACAACAGAAAACAGCTGACTGTAATTATTTAGATTCACCTCCTCCTCCTCTTCCTCCTCCTCCTCCTCCTCCTCCTCCTCTTCCTCTTCCTCCTCCTCTTCCTCTTCCTCCTCCTCCTCTTCCTCTTCCTCTTCCTCTTCCTCCTCCTCCTCCTCCTCCTCCTCTTCCTCTGTGGCTGGAGATAGTTCTGGTCTGGAGCTACTGAGTCGCTCTGGGTGGACGGTGGGAGAGTGGACGACCTTCCAGTGATACATTTACTCAAAGTTAATGAATGGCGGCTCGTTAAGAGGCCACTCACTTTAAAGCAGGATGGGAATGGAAACGATGACGCAGGAGTTTTTCTTTAATCATCTTTAAAAACTACATATGTTCTTTCCCATGGTTCTTTCCTCCTGAGTGGAAAACTCAGACAGAATCTGACCGTGCGTGTCCGAGCAGGAACCCGAGCGTGCATGCGGTGTGTTTACTTTCCTCCTCGATCATAGTAGCATAATGTTCTTTGTCAAACGGCCAAGTGCTCTCCCCCGTACCTTTACCTCCGTCAGGGCTGGCGAGGTGAAGCTGCAGTTCCTCTTGACCATCTGCCATGGCACTTACCCCCCGGTGACAATAACAGGCCGGCGTTCGGGGGGGAGGGAGGGAGAGTGGGCGGAGGAAGGATGCACAAATATGCCTGCTGGTAATTATAGCCCGACACCTCGAGCTGATGCACAATGAAAGCTGCAGCTTTTCCTCGGGGGATTTATAATTCATCTTTCAGTTTCTAATTGAAGGGTTGTTATAAATAACTCGTCACTGGATTTAGAACGTAAAGAAAAAGACAAGAAATACTTTTGTTCGTGTCAACTGTTATCGTTTATTCTGTGCCATAGAGCTCCGTGGAGGTGGTTGTGTGACATGATTCTTCAGAACGACTTTATTTTGAGTTTGTCCCACATGATGTAATAATTAAACGACCCAAAGTCCCAGAATTAAGTGACTTTGTCCTGATTGAATAATGTTTGAGAGCTAAACTATTGTCGGAAATGTCCCTGAGTTCTGACTACTGGACATCTGGACATTTACCACAACCTTCCACCGAGTTTTGTGTTAAACTATCCAGGAAATTTCATAATCCTGCTAAATAACAAGCAAACAAACAGACATGACAACATAAACTCTTTAATGAAAAACAACGATCTCAGGATGAAGAGGGACCACACGCGTTGTACAGGCCGTCAACTTGGAAGACAACGAAATATAAAAGCTTTTGGTGATAAGAGCCGACTGATAAATCCAGAGTCAAAGGTTTAGAAGAATTAATGAAACATATTTCTCTACATTTCTTGTTGTCTGATAATTCAAACCCCCAGTTTAGAAAATTTAAAGAAATCTCCATATTTGAAGGTCAGATTTTTCTGCATTTTTTAAAAGACTTCCAGATCAAATTATGACAAAGAGGTTTTCCACAGTAGCCGCAGGTTCATCATTTTTATTTCCAACATATGTAAACTGATCATTTATCTCTATACGAGTGACCTTTTCTGGAAAATTAACATTTAAAGAGCAATTTACACAGAACACACAACAGAAACTGACCAAAGACATTTACAGAGATGAAGTTATGATTGATGTTTAAATCAAATCAGAACAGAGATAAAGAAAAGGATATAAGTAAATTAATAAAACAATATATATATATATGTCTGTTTTATTTTGAAAAGTGCTCTGTAAATAGTTTAGTATATTATTATACATCCTGTACTTCAGATGTTAATATAATATTCAGAGACTTTATGATATAGAACATGATAAAGACAATAAATGAACTCTCCCTGCACAGCAGCGCAGAAACTAGTGCAGCACAGCAGTATAACGGCTCTCGCTTGGTAAAGCAATGCCATCCCATCCCAGAATGCAGTGCGGCTGCGTTATGTAAGAGGCTGTTCTAGTCTATTCTTAGCTCTACCTCAGTGAGAAGTAACAGTGCCGGTTGCCTGAGAGTCAAAAGCGCAGGGATCTGATGAGGCGGGATCGGTCGGTGAGGTGAGAAGCGGCACAGTGGGCTGCTCCGCCATCAGGCTCCCACTCTGGGACACGGGCAGGACGCCATGACCATATTTGGTGCTTGGAGGAAGTGGGAGTGTGAAGGAGGGGGGGGGGGTTATATTTTTGATAGTACGACATGAGAGGCCTTCACAGAAAGAATGTATTAAAAATCCCAAAATACACTGAAAACACCTAAAATAAACGTCCTCTCCTTCAGAGGACGTAACAGTGAACGACAGGCGGCCTCCATCTTTTATTTACTTGTTACCGTCCTCTTCAAAGTCCATCCGTCATGTGTCGTCTCCATTGTGTCGGTCGCCCTCGTCTTGATCCCCGTCTCCCAACTGTTTCAGATTCTTCTTAATTGCTGCTCAATCCTGTTATGATTATTTCCTGGAAAGCTCTGCAGAGACAGATGTGCACATGGTGAACAGTCGCTGTCGGGATCATGTGATCGGGATTTGAGGCGGACTTCTAGGACACTGAGATCAAGTCCTAAGTGTTTGTTTTTTTTCTGGGAATTCTGTGTTTCTTGGAAACTGGTGGGAATTAATTGTTAATGTAAAAGAAAAACCATTTGAAAGACTGATTATAGCGTGACGATTTAAAAACCTAAATAAATACGACGTGGTGAAAGCTTTGAAACATCATATTTAAAAACACAGTACTTTTCAAATAACAATGATTCAAACGTATCTGATGAGAAAATAAATATAAGAATAAACTGAATTACACATTATGTTGTGTTAAAAACCTCGGAAATATTCCGGTCACACATTTTAAACATATCTTGAAACATATATCGTGACTGAAGATACTTCATTTGTGACATCATCACAATGACATCAAGCTTTACCATGTTGAGTATATTTATTTTCGTGTCATTGAGAAGAGAGAAAGTTTCATTTTTTGTCTGTTATGAAATATTTGCCCCGGAGCCTTTCATTCTAACAGGGACCGACAGAAGTGAAGACTTTGAGTCGTTTTAAAATGTTGGTTCTTGCTCCGACGTTTTCCTTTGAATTGTCGTCTGAAATATTAAAGAGCTCCAGTGACTCGGCAGCGACAAAGTTGTTCCTTTAGAAACCTTCATCGTCTTTGTCACCAGGCAGCTTTTTCTTTTATTTACTTTCACCAGAGATAAAGAGGAATGACGAAGGGAATTTACATACATACGTCTGCAAAACACAGAAGAAGACGCAAACATCGAAAGACTTCGAGGTTCGAGAGCTTTTGATAAAATATCTTTGACGAGGAAGGACGCACGGAGGAGTCTTTGAAATGGGACAGTCTAGTCGTGATGCAGTCGACTCTGCAGTCGTCAGAAACAGTTTCACCTCATCGTTGGTCCTGTAAAATAAAAACCTGCTCTTTCTTTTCACCGGTGCTGTTCCTCGGTCGAAACAACCAACAGACAAGTGTTGTCAGGTGTGTTAACATGGACATCACATGTTTGTGATGCGTGGATATGGACGGAGACAGTCTTTAAACCCTGAGGCATCAGTGTGCACGTGGCCTCAGAATCACCCGATGACCCCGAGTTCATCACCGAGTTAATGCTTCAGAAACTGATCACCTGTCACATTGTTTGCATTCCTTTGTTTTTCTTTACTTCCTCCGAACCCGAGTCATCCGGTGGCGTGTTGCATCAGACTTCAACGCAAAAACACCTAAACATTTGGAACATGAAAACAGAAGTAGACATAAGTATAAAAACACAGAATGCACAAAAATACATTCATACATAGAACAATGAGTGAGATTAGATAGGAAAAAAAAAAAATCAACAAAGACGTGGGCGAGTCTGAGATATTCAATAATCTCCCAATAATCAGATTAAACGGAATAATGAGAACAATCAGAGGAAAAACAAATAAAATCCAACTAAACCAAGAATAAAAGAAAAAAATAACTGTCAAAATAAAAGCTCATCTCATCCACTCTGGTCCCGGTCCCCACGTGCAGACAGGCTGAGGTTAATTAGACGGGTTTATTTCCTCAGCTTGTTCGAGCGAGGACGAGATGGATTCTGCTGCAGCGCCTCACAAATTATCACACGGGCTGTGAAGACGAAACGTTTCTCAGAATCCACTGATCATTTCACAAAGCATTTGTAAAAAAACCCGTGAAGTTTCAGGGGCCGAACACAAACGCACGATTTTATCAACCCGAGATTTTACTCATGAGCTCGAATGTGTTGAAAATGAAATGTTGGTAAATTCACGATGCAGTGAGAAACTAAAAGTATAGTTGAATATCAGAGTAGTATTTTAAATGATAGTTGTTAGTGTCACAGTTGACCTTGATGTTGAATAATTTATTTCCCAGTTTTAATCCTGTGACTTTGAACGAATTGTTCATTTATCTCTTGTTATTTGCAAAAATATGTAAAAACAAATAATGTTCCTCAGGAGGAGGTGGAGACCAAACTCTGAGCTAGAAGAGGGTGAATCCTGGACTTTGAGTCATCAGGTGGATGCAGACAGGAATTCAAATGAATTGAAATGCTGCTCTGTAGCTGCCGGATGAGTAAATAAGTCAAGTGTTTGCTCACAAGTTCAACAGAGCAACTTAACAGTTGATGAAATGTCAATATTGTGTTGAGCAAAACAATGACTTTCTGCAGGTTTACAGCTGCATTCAGGTCTTCTCTGCTAAATGCAGTTAATAGTACGAGAGGGTATCGAACAGTGTCTCTCCTCTGGGTGTCCGTGGTGTTGTGCTCAGAAGCAGCTGTGTGAAGAACTGAAAGTACAAATTAGATTTTGTGTTCGTGCAGAAGTGAAAAAGCCTCAGTCCGAGTCAGACGGTCAGAGTGCAACAGTTTCCTTCTCTCAGGGTCAGGAAATGTTTTCATCGTCCTTCTCTGCTTTGTCACGGTGGTGAATCATGCTGATTATTGTTGGTGTTAGTAAACTTCCTCTGTTTCTGTGTCTCTTAACACAAACTCTCTCTGGAACCTTCTCCATCCAGACTTCAGCGACCAGCTGCTGGAGGTGGTCGGCCTGGAGGGGGCGATCGAGATGGGACAGATCTACACCGGACTGAAGAGCGCCGGACGCAGACTGGCTCAGTGTGCCAGCGTCACCATCAGGTGAGACCCTCCCACGTTCACTCCGTCCTCCTCCGTCAGGTCTCAGGTCTTTCCCCCCTCGTTTTGTTTCCGCCCTCTGGTCGACCAATTGGAACAATACGAATCCTCCTCCGCTCGTGATACGTGCGTGATCAAAAATGTATTTCCTTCTGAGTGTTTTTGTGCATCTGAAGGCCAAAGTCCCTGCAGGACCCAAACAATAACATGCATGTAGCTCTTCAATTATAGATTCCACCTTGCTTTAGCAAATGCAGCGGAGGACTGACTCACAGGACCAGAGACGAGCCGTGTATTCTGAAAAACACAGGGATGAATTCTTGTGTTTTTATAAGATTCTCGATATTTGTCTGTGAAGGTGAATTTATGGTTCACCGGTAAGTTGGGGTCCGCTGTGGTCCTGGGGACGAGAGCGTCATCATCATGTCCGCCAGGGTACACGCTGACCCCTACACGGTAGTGATCAAGCAAAAGGTGTGAAGATGAATTAAGACAAAAATAGAATAAAATCGATAAAGTAAAAGTTAAAAAACTTAAAACTAGAGGAGCTCATTCCTCCATCAATGATGGGCCACGTTATCACCATCTTACCTCTGATGTGCATCTCACACACACATGGACACACCAGCATTATTTAATTCTTCTTAACACTTGAAAAGAAAAGTGTTTTTGTTGCTGTCGACAGACTCGGTTCATTAAACTCTCACATTGTGTCGGTTTCTGTACAGAAGAGTCGACACTCACACTTTTCTGTGTCTCATATTTTCCTCGACCCAAACTGAAAGAGCATTCATCACACTCATTCTCCCATACACAGTTTCTGTAGGCGGAGAGCCACGCATGAAAGTCTTAAACCAACTTTGACTCTGTGAGAGTGTGTGTGAGTGTGTGTGTGTGTGTGTGTGTGTGTGTGTGTGTGTGTACAGTGGCTCTGTGAGTTTAAAGGGGGGAGGCTGTCTGGGAATGGCTCTCCTCATGGGAACAAAGGGTGCAGTGTGTGACCCTGTCCTGGGACAGTGTGAACAGGCCTCTCGTGCCTCCGAGGTGTGTGTGATCTGACCTTCACAACCTCCCCTCCCTTTACTCACTCCCTCCCTCCATCTCTCTGCCCTMCCCCCCMCCCCCYCCCCCSSSCYCTCTCTCTCTCTCTCTCCCTCTCCACAGGACGTCCCGGCGGCTGCCCATGCAGATTGATGGCGAGCCCTGGATGCAGCCCCCCTGCACGGTGAGACTGAACTGCACCACAGCAGCGTTTTCAGTCACTTCTGTTTTGAGTCAACAAACTCGTAGGTTTCTGTTCAGTGGCTACATCCACGGTGGATGGTTTAATTTGGTGCCTGGCCCATCCGTTAACATGGAGGCGTCACTGTGTCTCGATGGTGTTGCAGAGTTTTCACAGCCTGAACCTCTGGATGTGAACGCACATCTGCAGCCCTCGTCCCTGACAGCAGAGAAAGTCCGCTGCATGTGTCGGACTCAGCTTTTTCTCAGCTTTCATCCTGTCTTGGCTCATTTCTCTGCTCTTTTGTTCATCTCCCTCCTCTGCACTCCCCCAGCTTCAACCTCCTACACCGTCATGCCGTCAGATATCTCAGCCCGGCTATAGTCTTTTTAAAAATCGACTGTTATTTATCCATCCTCAAAGCCTTTTTAACCATTTTTCATTTTGTCAGAGTAAACCTCCATGGAGGCGGAAGATACAGAGCTCTTCAGTTGTGTTATGTGGGTTATATACAAGGTCGCAGCGACTGGTTTTATAACGGTCTGCTGCGAAAAGCCAGGAAGTGATGACTGTCATCCTGAGAGCAGATTTCTGTACGATTGTCATCACTCTGTCTGATTCTTACAGATCAGGATCACACACAAGAACCAGGTCCCCATTTTACTGGGCCCGCCGCAGAAGACGCCGTTCTTTTTCTTCAAGAAATGCAACCGGAGCCGCGACTAGGACACATGCATGCACACGCCAAAAACACACACATTTTACAAAGCATATATGCACACACACACACACACACACACAAACATCAGACGACTTGTTGGGAATTAAAATGACAGGAAGTGGAACGTTCCCAAAGTCTGGACGCCGACAGACAATTCATTCCCAAAGGAACTTGCATCAACAGCCTCTGAAACGAAAAGACTTCTCACACGGCACCGACCTATTCCTGTGTAACCGTCATCCACACATGGATTCAAGCCTCTTGCAACAGTCCGACCCCCCCCCCCTGCCCAGAAATTAGCCATACACCAGTACTGCACTGCCTGTTGGACCCGACTCTGGCCTCTGGGATCCCCTCACCCTCCCCTCACCACACGAGGGGAGCGACGGTGAGGAGGGTGGAGGGGTGAAAAGGAGCAGGTCGTACGATGAGCTCCAGAAACACTACGAGGAGACAGAGAGGTTTAATGAGAGCAGACGAGGCTGTTTACAAGGCCGGCGAGTAAATAGAGTAAGAGCCGGCTCTCGGTTAAAAACACCTGTATGAATAATGAAAGAGTGGTTTCTTGTAAGAGCGCTCGCACAGGGACCGACGACACGGTACAGCCGAGCGGAGGAGAGGAGAGGAGAGGAAAAGCCTCATCCATTATTGACTCATTCTGTTTGTGGGTTGATGGCACTGGGGCGTAACAGAGGCCTGGAAACATATAGGGATGGTTTAAGCCCCTTAGCGTCACTGGCCTACAAAATAAAACACCCTTTAAACAACATTTACAGACTCTGCAGATGATCTGGGTTCAGACTTCAGGCGGAGGAAGTGCCTGTCCAAGTTATCGCTTCATAAATTGACCCGGGGTCGAGATTGAAAGTAGGGACTGGAGCTCATCTTCGAACTGATTTGTCCTGCGAGGACGCAAACCGTCCAGAGCGAATCAACAGGACGCTTCCAGTGGGTCAGGGATTGAAATAAATCCCATCAAGGGTACACGAGCAGGGCCCCCACGGTTTTTATTTACCGCAGCACTGACAGGGGGAACTAAATTTATCTCTCTCCTCCAGTGAAACCCAACGCCTAATTACCGTGTCAGACACCGAGTCACAATGTCAAGTGTGCTGTCACAGTGTAAATCCCAGAGCCTGCCCCTGCTGGAAGGTGGCGGGCGGCTTTAACGCCATCGCCATTTGTCCATCTACCAAATAAAGACGAGATGTAACCGAGGAAACGGACCAAGCGAGGAGGAATCGTGTTTTCATCGCAGAATGTGGAAGATGTTGATCGTTCAGACACTGTTGAGTTCAGTGTTTTATAAAGAATGTATCCACAAACATGGCAGAGTATATTATTCAGTATGTGCAGACAGAGTATATGTATATTTCTGGGAAGTAGATGTAGCTCACGTATTCTGTACACACAGTTGTGTTTTTTTATAATAATATCATTATTATCAATGTGGATCTTTTAGATTAGAGAAGTTCAGATCCGTCAGAGACGCTCACGTCTGGAGACGGTTTTCCACTTTGTCCCGTTCACGTCAGATTAGATTTGAATTAATGAGGCTGTCGTCTTTTCCTCTGTTTGGTTTTTCATTTTGTCGTATTTATAAAAATACGACAAAAATGAATCAATCAGGGTTTTTCTGCAAAAACCCCCCCAACAAAAAAACAGGACATACATTTTATCTCTAGAACTTAAGTTGACTTTATTTCATTAATCGCAATAATCCTGACGACAAGACTGATCTCAGCAAATCTACATTTCGTGTGAGTCGGACGTTTGTGGAAAACTGTCGCCCTGCTCGGATCGTATTAATGTTGCAGGGCAGAGTGAGACGGGGTGAGACGGGGTGAGACGGGGTGAGACGCTCTGACGGGACAAACTGAACCTCGCTGATATGCAGGGTCGGGCTTCGATGCCTTTACACCCTGATTCCCTTTAAATCCCACTGAGTGGATCCTCTCTCCCCCAGGCTCCATGGAAACACACAGGACTTCTAGTTCAGGTTAGATCCAGCGTGAAGCCATTTCACACAAGTGGCATTAATTCAAATCTACTGAAACACTGTGGGAACATCCGAAAATACAAGATGCAGCATCATCATCTTTTACTAGTGGAGCCTGGGCGTCCAGAGGCCTCAGTGGTGACAGAGTGCATGTTTACAGTAACTCCACATTTATTGAAAGAATGGTTTTAGACAGGTCTATAATACCGAGTGTATATATTTGTTTATAATATTTTATCTGAAGTTAACTTACATCACCGCATGCCTGCTGAAACAAAAGGAGAGTGAACAAACAGAGAGTGTGGATCTGATTATTCTCAAAACTATTCTGAAACTTTAAATTCCACGTATCTGATGTTTTTCCTTGTTGTGGTTTTCTTTATTTTTATTTTATTTTGAAGGGGGGGGGGGGGTCAGCATGTTTAAGAAAATAGGCAGAAGAGATTGTTATATTTAAAGAAGAAAGTAGAATTACCACATTTATCCTCCGTTTGTGATTTACTGTCGGATCAAAGTGGGACGACACAAACACACACACACACACACAGTGAGTTTCCAATTGTGTCATGTCTCGTGTCCTTTAAAATAATCAATGTCCTCGACAGATGAATGGATCCACCCTGAGCTCGCAGTGACTCAACGACAGACTCACAACAGTTGTTTGTAGCAACAGTTTAGATTTTCATGCTTTAAATTATCGAAACGAAGATGCAGCTGATTCCGTCAACACTTTAAAAAAAAAAGGGTTGTCACTTTAGTGTCGTCATGGAGACGGACTGATGGGATTTCCTGCCGCAGAGCTGAAGTTAGCAAACAAAGGGAGGTGATATCTGTTTCTGTGTCCGTCAGTGATGATGAAGTGACTGTGGCTGCTGCTCCGTCACAGCTCTCACGTTAAATTAGATTATTCTCCTTAATCAGCTGTTCACTGCAGTTTTTAACAAACATCACATCAACAGGAGGATGTGACTCATTCGCTTTTCACGTGGCGTTCAACCGATAGCTACAACGTTTGTGTTGTTGGCTAGTTTACCTTTGACTTATGAACAACGCAGCAGGAGATTCTCCGCCCAGACGCGTTCACAACAACAACAAATCTCCGGAGTGAGTCTTCGACGTGTAGAAATGTCCTCAACACTCGGTTACTTGTGGAGAATCCTGCGCAGGATGTGCGGAGAGCTTTTACTCGGAGGCTGGCAGGAGAAAATCCAGCCCCTCGGAGAATCTCCTGAGCATCTTGAGGGTTCGGTGCAGGTCTTAAAGCTGCGAGAGACAATGTTGTTACTTATTGATGTCGGACATGAACGTTATAATCTGTCCCCCACGTTCTCCTGTTGTTGCGATTGAGTCGCACCCGGACGATCTCCTGCTGCTTCTTCATATGTGAAACTCCAGAAAATGTCCAGACCCGATTTTCTGCACGTTTTCCAGAGTTCATGTCTTAAAAAACGTCTGAAATGTCCAACCTGTCTTTAAATCTCACATATCACTGTATAATAGTTAATATCAGCAGCACGTTCAGAAATCAAAAGGAATATTAATCAGAGCCGTCTGCTTCCCCAATGTGGCTCAGCCCCCCCCCCACCCTCCACCCTCTGTCCCACCTCTGAGGACGAGCCGCAGTGTGATCCAGTCCTCGTCCTGGGACTGATTAGTGCTACTGAGTGACATCAGAGGCCCGGATGCAGCGAGCCGTTGTTCCACATGTACATAAAAATCATCAAAGTGGAGAGAACAAATAACGAGTCATCACTCGGCCTCAGGGGAGGAAACCTGTACTGTGTGTAAACAAGAGGACATGGAATCATTTATGAATCTGTGATATGAGTCCTCTGCCCCCCCCCCCACCCCCAGGGTGAGTGTGGTGGTGGTGGTGGTGGGGGGGGGGCTCTCAGCTGACAGAGGGTCAAGGGCAGAACGTCCCCCGTGTTGTCCAGGATCTGATTGGATGGAGGAGGTTGAGGAATCAATAGTCCCGCCTCTGCTCCGTGTCTGTCTCTACGTTCCCTCACTGTCTGTTAGCAGATGGACATTTTACCAAATAAACACAAGAGCTCGAATACGAATTGTGTCCCCGTTGTTTTCTTTAACATTATCAATCGATTTATAATCAATTACTTATAAATCGGAGACATTTCACCACAAAGAGGAGTTCGTCTCATTCTACATTAAAAACATTGTTTAAGCAACATGGAAGTCACTGACTGCTTTTACATTATTATACGTTTTCTGGTTATTGTCAAGTTTTTGTGTTTAAACACGTAAACAACATATCCTGATTTCAGCGTCCTGCAGATAAGGACGTCTCGTGACCGCGTCCACGTCTTGATCTTCAGGATAAACACAAACAATGGTGGCAAGAAATAAACAAATCTATTTCACCACGATACAGAAAATAAAAAGGAAATTCCTGGATCTGCCTGTTTCTCTGGATCCGCTCCAAATTAAGTAATGAAAACAACCTCCTCGAAGGAAACCACTGGACATAGTCGCAATCAAATTTCATACGGACGTCAACAGTTCCCAGAAGACTTAGCTTTCCTCTGGCTTTTCATGCATAACCACCAGCAGGGTGATGTTTGCGCTTCTGAGGAAATTTTGCAATAAAACGTGTTCTGCTCATTATCCCCAACACCAGGCTGAGGACTTCAGGACAGAGGACAGTCTTTGTCTTTATCACCTTAAATCTGTCCTCCCTCAGATGTGTGAAGCGTCCTTGGGTCCCTTTGAAATGTGCTACAGAAATGTACGTTGTTATTATCAGGATTAAAATGATCTCTTCTTCTATGGCGACATCACCAGGTTTGATTCCCCTACTTGCCCAACACTTTAGATTTCTCCATTATTGCGACACTTTCATTTGTGGCCAAAAACCTGCCGAGGCACGAACCAACAGACGCAGACAAGAGAGTGTTTGACGAAGACATGGAATCGTGAAGAAAAAAAGAAGACGTCAAAGGAGAAGGAGGTTGAATCAAGAAGAGAGAGAACGGTAATAAAGGAAAAGCCTGGTTATACAACTCAGAGCCTCAGAAGATTCTGCCCCTGGCAGGCTCGAGTCCAGCTGCTAAGATAACAAGGCAGGAATTATCTCCCAAAGTGCTATTAATAGCAGACAAGTCACATCTTGTGCCTCAGCGAGAGCATCCTGCGCCCAGAGGCGCTGCTTTCCATTTTGAACTCTTTTTGAAATGTGCATTTTGACGGAAGCTGGGACGGACGGCCGAGACTCTGAGCTTTACGGTAATAATCTCCCCCACTGCTCTTCATCGCTGTGACTAGAAGTCACGCTCACTGATGGAGTGAGCTACAGAACAGAGTTTTGTTTTGCTCCTGGAATTTGCTGATGGGGAGTTTTTCACTCAGGTTGGTGGAAAAGTTCAAAGTTCTTTTCCTTGACAGAGACGCAACAAAACAAAGTGTGTTCAGCATCTTGTCCTGAAGCTTTCAGTCAATCTCTGAAGCTGTGAATGTGGAACGTACACATCAAAGTCTGATGGAAAATGAACGAGAAGCCTCTTATACACATGATTTCAGAGTCAGATTAATTAAACTCAATAACAAATAATACATTTGTTAATTTCATTACAGGTTAAATTAAGATTTTATTGATTCTCAAGGGGAAATGCACGAGCTACCAGTAGTAAAAAATTAACTCCACCTTTAGCAGCTGCAACATTAAACTTTAATGCATCAATAATTATGGTCCAGCGATTAAATAAAATGGAAAAAAATTAATAGTTAGTACTTTTACTTTTGGAACTTTAACTTTCATTGATGCTAATACTTCAGTACTTTATTTAACCCCCTGGAGTCTGTAATCACGTCAGCATGATTAAATCACGTGGGTTCTTGAGTCCATGATGTTATACTATGTCAAATTTTAAAAATAATTATGTAATAAAACATGATAATATAATATAATGGTTTACAGGAAATGTTTGAAGAATAAAAGATTCCGGACATTGACCAGATGAACATTTTTAATGTGGTTTATGAAGGAAAATCTAGAGTTTACACAAAAGACAAGAACTCTGAAGAACTTTTACTTTTTACTTTTAAATGTGACTTTTACTTATAAAAGTAATTATTTCTACACTATTTTATTAAATAAGTAAAACTGGAAGTGGGAAGTACAAATACTCAGTAACTATACTAGAATTTCAAAGTATCTGTATAAATTATTATGTCGACTTTCTACTTTTGCTTCTGGGAAATATATCTGAACTATTGCTATTATTATATTTTATATTGGAACTGTATTAATGTGAAATGACTCTCAGTTTGTTTTGCACTGATACAGCCGGTAATGAAACGACCCTCAGAGGGAAACTTTTTACTTTTATCCTGTGAGTAGATTTCAAAGCTTGTACTTTTACTTGAGTCTTTTCAAACACAAGCACTTGAGTAAAGAATGTGTTGACGTCACAGAGTAAAACATCTTCCTTCAGTGAAGCAGTCTTAGTACCGGGATTAGCCCACATCGCTCTCAGCAGGCGACACCTCTGACCTGGCCGTTACATCAGTGTCACACTAACCTACAGCGGTCGTCTTCGAGGGAACAGGACATTGGCGACTTAAACCTTGCTCCACCTTCACACCCACGGTCACCCGGAGAGAGAGAGAGCGAGGGACAGTGTATGTACACAAGCAGCGTGTCGCCCTCTGCATATGGCACATTTATTTAAGGAAAGCGTGAGAACAGCAACGCAATGTGCTCGCTCTCCACACGCCTCCAAATGACCACCCACCACATCCGCACAAACCGAGAGGTGCAGCGTGGGGCCTTCAGGCTGCAGCTTTAGAAATAGTCCGACTGAGACGTGTCCTCTGCTATTTAATGCTTCACACACACGTACAATTAAATTTGACGGTGGATATTTTTGAACAGTCTCACCTCCGCACTTTTCAGAGATAGCTCTCCGAGCGGAGGCCGTGTGGTGAAAGACAATCTGTTTGCCTTTGGCCTCAGACCTCAGAGACGTCCCAACAAACATAGCTCTGCATCCGATGTGACAGCTCGATGTGTGCTTGTCTGTTCTTACTATTATTGCCCCGGCAGCAGGCTCATAATCTCTGCATCGTGGCTGCAGGGATTTGTCGGGGATTATAGTTTTCATACCAGCTGCTGGAGTTTGCTTTAAACCCCGAGTGACGTCTGCAGTGATGTCCAGTTCATATGAGAGATTCCCAATTTGGTAACTGCAGGTGATAATGACAAAGGTTATTATTTATGACCTTTAACCTTTGGCCTCCAACAGCCGCTCCACACACACGTACATGTGAGTAAACAGGAAACGAATGGTGATGTCTCATTTTAAAACAGTGATATATTTTTATCACACATTAGATCAGTTTTAGATCCACCTCCAACATTTGGAACCAGTTTTTTTGTTTTTTTTAATCTTGACACTTTGCCACAAAAGTGTTTAATAAGATAAACAACACACCAGCTGCGTTCCTTTATTTAGAGCATGCGCCGTAAAATGTGATCGCGGTCTCGATAAAATCCAAACAGTTCATTCTCTGAATCAATAAGAGTATGAGTGTGCTCAGCAGATTTCACTGCTACAAATGTCTGATCCTTTACTTAAGTGATTAAGTGAGTGAGCACTAATACGACACCGTAAAGAAATATTATGTCATGACTAAAAGTCCAGTATTGAAATTAAGCTTATTCTTCTCAGACTATGTTGTTATTATTATTGTGGACTTGAT